TTTGTTTCATTTTTATATTTTTCTAATATGTACTTACAAAATGTTTGATACAAATTCAATTTATGTTTTTTATATTGTCTGTTTGTATAATAAATTAAAAAAATAGTTATTGGGTGTTTTATTAACAATTGCAAGTTTGCAACATTCAAATTTATACTCCCCATGTCGGGAAAGAGCAAAAATTTTCAACTTTCGGAGATTAGCAATTGCTCGAAAACTAACCATGAGAATTCCATTTATATGGCCTCATTTAACTTATATTGAGATACTCTATCCACTATAGGGAGTTCAGTTCGAATTTCAAATTTTATGGCCACTTGCCCGATAAAGGGTTAAACAAGTTAAGAAAGCCTAGGTAGCAAATGGATTTATCAGTCAAAAACAGAGTAGGGGAGTTAGTAGATGGGGAGATGGAGGTTTTGGGTAGATGGCGAGAATATTTTGAGGAACTTTTAAATGTCAACGAAGAAAGGAAGGCGGTAATTTCATGCACTGGCCAGGGAGGTATACCATCTTTTAAGAGTGAAGAAGAGCAGGATGTGAGTGTGGGGGAGGTGGGCGAGGCATTACGTAGAATGAAAGGGGGTAAAGCAGCTGGAACTGACGGGATCATGACAGAAATGTTAAAAGCAGAGGCGGACATAGTGTTGGAGTGGTTGGTATTTTTGTTTAATAAATGTATGAAAGAGGGGAAGGTACCTAGGGATTGGCGGAGAGCGTGTATAGTCCCTTTATATAAAGGGAAGGGGGACAAAAGAGATTGTAAAACTCATAGAGGAATAAGTTTACTGAGTATACCAGGAAAAGTGTATGGTAGGGTTATTATTGAAAGAATTAGAGGTAAGACAGAATGTAGAATTGCAGATGAGCAAGGAGGTTTTAGAGTGGGTAGGGGATGTGTAGAGCAAGTGTTTACATTGAAGCATATATGTGAGCAGTATTTCGATAAAGGTAGGGAAGTTTTTATTGGATTTATGAATTTAGGAAAGGCATATGATAGAGTGGATAGGGGACCAATGTGGCAGATGTTGCAAGTGTATGAAATAGGTGGTAAGTTACTAAATGCTGTAAAGAGTTTTTATGAGGATAGTGAGGCTCAGGTTAGGGTGTGTAGAAGAGACGGAGACTACTTCCCGGTAAAAGTAGGTCTTAGACAGGGATGTGTAATGTCACCATGGTTGTTTAATATATTTATAGATGGGGTTGTAAAAGAAGTAAATGCTACGGTGTTCGGGAGAGGGGTGGGATTAAATTATGGGGAATTAAATACAAAATGGGAAGTGACACAGTTACTTTTTGATGATGATACTGTGCTTATGGGAGATTCTAAAGAAAAACTGCAAAGGTTAGTGGACAAATTTGGGAATGTGTGTAGAGGTAGAAAGTTGAAAGTGAACATAGAAAAGAGTAAGGTGATGAGATAATCAAATGATTTAGATAAAGAAAAATTGGATATCAAATTGGGGAGGAGGAGTATGGAAGAAGTGAATGTTTTCAGATACAGTGGACCCCCGCATACCGTTGGCATCACATAACGTTTAATCCGCATACCGATACATTTTATCGCTAAAATTTTGCCTCGCATACCGCTTAAAAACCCGCTCACCGCTGTTCGTCCGAGATGCGTCCAATGTGCGCCTTAGCCAGCCTCACATGTTCCGCCGGTGGCATTGTTTACCAGCCAGCCTCCGCGGTAGCATCCAAGCATACAATTGTAACATTTCGTATTATTACAGTGTTTTTGGTGATTTTATCTGGAAAATAAGTGACCATGGGCCCCAAGAAAGCTTCTAGTGCCAACCTACAGCAAAGGGTGAGAATTACTATAGAGATGAAGAAAAAGATCATTGATAAGTATGAAAGTGGAGTGCATGTCTCCGAGCTGGCCAGGTTGTATAATAAACCCAATCAACCATCGCTACTATTGGTGGTACAGCTGCTGCTGCTGCACTGTCAGCTGCTGCTGCTGCTGTAGCATCGTCTGCTGCTGCTGTAGCATCGTCTGCTGCTGCTGTAGCTTTCGTCTGCTGCTGCTGTAGCACGGGTCAGCTGCTGCTGCTGCTGTGCATCGTCTGCTGCTGCTGTAGCATCATCTGCTGCTGCTGTAGCACTGTTGTTGGTGTGGCTTATTGAGAATATACCAAGAAACAATTAACCCCAGAGGATTTGCCCCCCAGGATAACCCAAAAAAGTCAGTGTCATTGAAGACTGTCTAACTTATTTCCATTGGGGTCCTTAATCTTGTCTCCCAGGATGCAACCCACACCAGTCGACTAACACCCAGGTGAACAGGGAAAAAATGCCTGGAACTAGTGCTCATATTGGTGAATTTAAAGCCAGCAAAGGTTGGTTTGAGAGATTTAAGAATCGTAGTGACATACACAGTGTGATAAGGCATGTTCTGGAAGAAAATACCAAACAGGACCTACAGTACTCAGGAGGAAAAGGCACTCCCCGGACACAGTGTTCATCAGTTTATTGCTGCATCTTCAATAAAGGTAAGTGTCATTTATTCTTCATTTAGTAGACTAGTGCATGCACAATATATACTGTGCATGTACTACTCTACTATTGTGCATGTATCCTTCTCTTTGTGTGTAGGAAAATGTATATTTCACGTGGTAAAAAATTTTTTTTCATACTTTTGGGTGTCTTGCACGGATTAATTTGATTTCCATTATTTCTTATGGGGAAAATTCATTCGCATACCGATTATTTCGCATACCAATGAGCCCTCTTGCACGGATTAAAATCGGTATGCGGGGGTCCACTGTACTTGGGAGTTGACGTGTCAGCGGATGGATTTATGAAGGATGAGGTTAATCATAGAACTGATGAAGAAAAAAAGGTGAGTGGTGCATTGAGGTATATGTGGTGGCAAAAAATTTTATTTATGGAGGCAAAGAAGGGAATGTATGAAAGTATAGTAATACCAACACTCTTACATGGGTGTGAAGCTTGGGTTGTAAATGCCTGCAGCGAGGAGGGGGTTGGAGGCAGTGGAGATGTCCTGTCTAAGAGCAATGTGTGGTGTAAATATTAAGCAGAAAATTCGGAGTGTGGAAATTAGGAGAAGGTGTGGAGTTAATAAAAGTATTAATCAGAGGGCTGAAGAGGGTTTGTTGAGTTGGTTTGGTCATTTAGAGAGAATGAATCTGTAGGGGAAGGAAGGCGGGATAGGGGATGTCTTCGAAAAGGTTGGAGGGAGGGGGTAAAGGTGGTGTTGTGGGCAAGGGGCTTGGACTTCCAGCAAGCGTGCGTGAGCGTGTTAAATAGGAGTGAATGGAGACAAATGGTACTTGGGACCCGATGATCTGTTGGAGTGTGAGCAGGGTAATATTTAGTGAAGGGATTCAGGGAAACCGGTTATTTTATATAACCGGACTTGAGTCCTGGAAATGGGAAGTACAATGCCTGCACTCTAAAGGAGGGGTTTGGGATATTGGCAGTTTGGAGAGATATAGTGTGTATTTTTATATGTATATACTTCTAAATTGTTGTATTCTGGGCACCTCTGCAAAAACAGTGATTATGTGTGAGAGAGGTGAAAGTGTTGAATGATGATGAAAGTATTTTCTTTTTGGGGATTTTCTTTCTCTTTGGGTCACCCTGCCTCGGTGGGAGATGGCCGACTTGTTGAAAAGAAAAAAAAAATTATAATAATAATAATAATGATGATGCATAATAACAATAAAGAGGAACTTCAGAATGCTGCCACAAGTTGGTGCAGTGAATGCCAACACATCTGGTGAGCAGTGCATGTGTGTTCCTTGCTGTGGAAGCATTTCTCTCATGCTTTGCTTGCATTTTTTACAGTCATTTGGCCAATTTTTTTTTCTAACCATCTTTACCTTAAAATATGTGTAGTTGTAATGTAGGATGAGAGGTGAGTAGCATTTATTTGTAGGAAGTCAGTGTAAGTAGCTGGTAGATGTAGCCTGCCTGGGCTACACCTACCGGCTACCTACACTGCACTACTCTCGAAAATCAGCAAAAATCAAACATTTTCGCTACCTTGAGCTCAATTACAAGTTATTTTCAGTACTAAAACCAATCAAAATCTCTATTTCTGTAATATATCTTCCATTCTATCAAATGAGACCAAAAAACTGCAAATACAACCATAAAAACCACATGAAAATACACCGCAAAGTTGCTGTTTTAATCCAAAAAGACAGTCGCAGTTTTTTTTCTCATGCACTGCATGCTTCAGGATTTACTTTATATGGTGCACACTTACCACATAGATGCATTCTCTCATATCTAGGCCCAAATTTACCGATCACAGCTTATCTGAGTGAGCTGAGCTCATGGCGTAGATCTATGGTTTGGACCCTGTGGACAATACGTAGATCTACGACTTGGACCCTCAAAGGGTTAAAGTACACCAAAAGTGAATGAATTCAGATGATAAATAACGACAGGATGTAAGTATCAGCCGCCCAGTTGTTGCACCACTTGCATTCCCTCACAACAAAGAGTGAGTCTGTACTTCACTGGTTTGTGTCCTGGCAATAACTTCTCTCGAGTGAAATAGGTTCTGTTTGGCATTTTTTTCCAAAATAAACCTGTCTCATCACAACTGAACACTTGTTGGGGAATAAAAACCTCAGCCTCTATACAGTTACTAAACTCAATGACATATTTCTTGGCAGCAGGTCACATTTGTTTGGTTGAGTACCAAGCAAACGGTCGACCACCGAGCAATTTTTTTTACCGAATAAAGCGTTCGAATACCGAATTGTTCGAGTTGGGAGCTGTTCGAGTATCAAGGTACTACTGTAATTATTTCCATAACTTACAGCAAACTTTAATTTACTGCAATTTTTTTTTTTTTTTGTTCTTATGATGCAAGGAAAAGGAAGAGCTGAAATTTACAAAATATGCATCTTATCAGTTTATTATCAAAGAGTATATCGAAGTTTTTTTTTTTAACAAACTGGCCATCTTCCACCAAGACAGTGTGACCCTATACTGAAGTTATGACTATTAATTCTTACCTTATTAAGATTACAGATAAGCTTTTTGGCTTTAGCACAATCAGGTGGGTGTTGGAGGGCATGAAGTCGATTTTGTATTAAGCCACTAAGATCAGCAGCCTCTTGTTCTCTCCAGGACCCTAAGCCATCCAGATGGCTAAGACGATGAAGATCATACTGGGTTACTCTGAAGACATAATAAACCATATATTACTCCCCTCTGATATACCTTTGATGAGTTCCGAGAGTTTTTCTACAAATATTCTAATATGTATAGTAGAAACCTAATAAACTCATGTCCAATGAGTGCATTTTCCATAAGAGGCTAATGAAATATTGTATTCAAAACCATAGGGAACGAGAAAATTACCTGTCAAATGTGCCGTAAGGTTTAAAAAAATACACTGGGAGGCGTTGCTGCATGAAGGCTGCTAACCAATGACATATTCCTGTACCTTTAACATTTGTGTACCTACTCTTGCTGCATGTCTACAGCAGTTGCTGAATATGTTGGTAACAGTTATTAAACAATAATGCTGTGTAGAGGATCATTCTGACTATGGTGCAGCCATGAAAAAATTTCTGTTTAGGGATTTCTATGACCTAGAAAAGGACAGCTGCTGACTCAGGTAAGGTACTCACCTATATGTACTCACCTAAATGTGGTTGCAGGGGTCGAATCACAGCTCCTGACCCCACCCCTTCACTGGTCGCTACTAGGTCCCTGTCTCCCAGCTACAAAAGCCTTCTAGTATTTCTTCTTAAAGATGTGTATGGATCCTGCCTCTACTTTCACTCTTCTGACATCTCTACGGCTGAAGAAATACTTCCTAACATCTCTCTGACTCATATGAGTTTTCAACTTCCAGTTGTGCCTTCTTATTCCTATTTCCCATCTCTGAAACATTCTGTACCTGTTCACCTTGTGAAATTGTCTTGGTATTTTTGTACATTATTATCACATCTCCCTTAGTCATCAGGCTGAGCTCCCTTAACCTCTCCTCATAGGACATGCCCTCTTAACTCCAAGACTAGTCTTGTTGCAAACCCCTGCACTTTCTTCAATTTCATGCATGCATGCACACATGTGCACATGCTTGTGGATGCGTGTGCATGTGTTCACAAGCAACTGACTTTACTGGGGTTTAGTAAGGCAAGGGGTCCACATGACTTAATTAAAAAAAATTGTTTTAATTTCTGTTTCAGAATTAAACCATGTTTTGCTTCCAATTTCTGCTTAGATATGAGCAATATATTTTTACCCTTTCTTAGGAAGCAAACCCAATCCAGCATAAATTGTGGTGGTCCTCTAAATCTCCAAAAACAACTCCCATACCATTTTATTACAACACTACTGCATTTTTCTTGATTATTACATTCTTAAATGCATTCCTCTTTTGTGTATGAGGTGGCAAGTGGCAAAAAAGAATAAGTGTAACCACAGTGAAAATCTGAGATGTAAATGAACAGATGCCATCTGACCTAGAAATTGTTTTCTGCATCTGTAATTTAGGCTCAGAACCTCATAAGAAAGTATGCTAACTGAAGAGGTAGTAGTAACTCTGAGCTAGGAACAATATTAACAATACAAAGGCAAACTCAGCCCAATATACTGTTTTGCCTGTTAGCAATGTAGCCTCAAATGTACCCTTGATAAAGTATGGTAACTTAAGCTTTATAGCTTCAATCTCCCCCTTTACCTCTGTTTTTCTCCACTGCTTGAATGTGGTGCCTATTCTTCTCTGTTGAGCAATGCTCCATATGTTTAATTAGAATAGGTGTGGTGAGTTATTATAAATTTGGTACAGTTTTGTAAGGAAATGTTCATGTTTACAAATGATGATAGAAGGTGATAGTGGCAGTTCATAATAGTGACAGTACCTGGAGTTTACCTGGAGAGAGTTCCGGGGGTCAACGCCCCCGCGGCCCGGTCTGTGACCAGGCCTCCTGGTGGATCAGAGCCTGATCAACCAGGCTGTTGCTGCTGGCTGCACGCAAGCCAACGTACGAGCCACAGCCCGGCTGGTCAGGAACCGACTTTAGGTGCTTGTCCAGTGCCAGCTTGAAGACTGCCAGGGGTCTGTTGGTAATCCCCCTTATGTGTGCTGGGAGGCAGTTGAACAGTCTCGGGCCCCTGACACTTATTGTATGGTCTCTTAACGTGCTAGTGACACCCCTGCTTTTCATTGGGGGGATGTTGCATCGTCTGCCAAGTCTTTTGCTTTCGTAGTGAGTGATTTTTGTGTGCAAGTTCGGTACTAGTCCCTCTAGAATTTTCCAGGTGTATATAATCATGTATCTCTCCCACCTGCGTTCCAGGGAATACAGTTTTAGGAACCTCAAGCGCTCCCAGTAATTGAGGTGTTTTATCTCCGTTATGCGCGCCGTGAAGGTTCTCTGTACATTTTCTAGGTCAGCAATTTCACCTGCCTTGAAAGGTGCTGTTAGTGTGCAGCAATATTCCAGCCTAGATAGAACAAGTGACCTGAAGAGTGTCATCATGGGCTTGGCCTCCCTAGTTTTGAAGGTTCTCATTATCCATCCTGTCATTTTTCTAGCAGATGCGATTGATACAATGTTATGGTCCTTGAAGGTGAGATCCTCCGACATGATCACTCCCAGGTCTTTGACGTTGGTGTTTCGCTCTATTTTGTGGCCAGAATTTGTTTTGTACTCTGATGAAGATTTAATTTCCAAGTGTTTACCATATCTGAGTAATTGAAATTTCTCATCGTTGAACTTCATATTATTTTCTGCAGCCCACTGAAAGATTCGGTTGATGTCTGCCTGGAGCCTTGCAGTGTCTGCAATGGAAGACACTGTCATGCAGATTCGGGTGTCATCTGCAAAGGAAGACACGGTGCTGTGGCTGACATCCTTGTCTATGTTGGATATGAGGATGAGAACAGATGGGAGCGAGTACTGTGCCTTGTGGAACAGAGCTTTTCACCGTAGCTGCCTCGGACTTTACTCTGTTGACGACTACTCTCTGTGTTCTGTTAGTGAGGAAATTATAGATCCATCGACCGACTTTTCCTGTTATTCCTTTAGCACGCATTTTGTGCGCTATTACGCCATGGTCACACTTGTCGAAGGTTTTTGCAAAGTCTGTATATATTACATCTGCATTCTTTTTATCTTCTAGTGCATTTAGGACCTTGTCGTAGTGATCCAATAGTTGAGACAGACAGGAGCGACCTGTTCTAAAACCCATGTTGCCCTGGGTTGTGTAACTGATGGGTTTCTAAAATGGGGGGTGATCTTGCTTCTTAGGACCCTTTCAAAAATTTTTATGATATGGGATGTTAGTGCTATCGCCCTGTAGTTCTTTGCTTTTTGCTTTACTGCCCCCTTTGTGGAGTGGGGCTATGTCTGTTGTTTTTAGTAACTTTTGGGACGACCCCCGTGTCCATGCTCCTTCTCCATAGGATGGAAAAGGCTCGTGATAGGGGCTTCTTGCAGTTCTTGATGAACACGGATTTTCCATGAGTCTGGCCCTTGGGGCAGAGTGCATGGGCATGTCATTTATCGCCTGTTCGAAGTCATTTGGCATCAGATAACATCGATAGGTTTGTGTTAAACCAAATTTTGTGGCTCTCATAAAAAATTCATTTTGATCTTCGACTCTCTTTCTGGTAGCAGCTGCTAAAAGCCGAGTCATATTGGGACTTGAGTAGCTCACTCATTTCCTTGCTGTCATCTGTGTAGGCCCCATCTTGTTTAAGTAGGGGCCCAATACTGGACGTTGTTCTCGACTTTATTCGGCATAAAGGGGAAGAAATACTTTGGGTTTCTTTCGATTTCATTTATGGCTTTTAGTTCTTCCCTGATTCCTGACTCCTATAAAAATTCCTTTAGCTTGAGTTCGATGCTTGCTATTTCTCTGACAGTGTCTCCCTACGCATTTTTAGATATATTGACCTCTTTTAGCCGCTCTGTTATTCTTTTCCGTCGCCTGTTAAAGAGAGCGCCTGTCTCTTTCTATTTTACATCTACTCCTCCTTTTTCTTAGAGGAATAAGCCTTGTGCATACATCGAGTGCCACCAAGTTAATCTGTTCTAGGCATAAGTTGGGGTCCGTGTTGCTTAGTATATCTTCCCAGCTTATATCGGTTAGGACTTGGTTTACTTGGTCCCACTTTATGTTTTTGTTATTGAAGTTGAATTTGGTGAATGCTCCCTCGTGACTAGTCTCATTATGTCGGTCTGGGGCTCCACGCATACATGTCTGACCTCAATTATGTTGTGATCTGAGTATATTGTTTTTGATATGGTGACATTTCTTATCAGATCATCATTGTTAGTTGCTAGTTGCTAGTTGCAGTTGCTAGAAAAATGACAGGATGGATAATGAGAACCATTAAAACTAGGTATGCCAAGCCCATTATGACACACTTCAGGTCGCTTGTTCTAGCTAGGCTGGAATATTGCTTCACACTAACAGCATCTTTCAAGGTAGGTGAAATTGCTGACCTAGAAAATATGCAGAGAACCTTCATGGCACACAAGTGCGATAAAACACCTAAATTACTGGGAACATTTGAAGTTCCTCGACCTGCACTCCCTGGAACATAGGCAGGAGAGATATATGATTATATACACCTGGAAAATTCTAGAGGGATTAGTACCAAATCTGCACATGAAAATCACTCCCTATGAAAGCAAAAAGACTCAGCAGACGATGCAACATCCCCCCATGAAAAAACGGGTGCCACTAGCACGAAAAAAGACAACACAATAAGTGTCTGGGGCCCAAGACTGTTCAACTGCCTCACAGCATACAAAAGGGGGATTACCAAGAGACCCCTGGCTGTCTTCAAAAAGGTTTTGGACAGGCACCTAAAGTCAGTACCTGACCAGCCGGGGTGTGGTTCGTATGTCAGTTTATGTGCGGCCAACAGTAACAGCCTGGTTGATCACGCCCTGATCCACCATGAGACCTGGTCACAGACCAGGCCACATGGGCACTGACCCCTGAAATCCTCTCCAGGTATATTCCAGGTATACAGGTATTGTACAGGATCACATTAACCCTCTCCACACACTAGCATGTCAATCAACAACAACTATTAGTACAATTTGGTAAGGAAATGTGGCTTATTTTTACTGATGTTAACATAATGGCAGGTGATGGTGGCTGAAGCTGATACTGCCTGCTATATGTTTGTACATGTACAAGGCCTAATC